AGTAACTGCATCAGATACTGTAATTCATTTAATATTCTCTGCTTTCCTCTGAAATGAAGCTTTAAGTAGTTAACCATAACTATGGTAGAAAAAAGTGGCTAAAAGAATAACTAAGCAGTCTGTACAAAACATTGGAATTATAGTCAAAATATGTCCAAATTATATGTAATATGTATTATGTATTGTATAATATGTATCAAGATATAGTTAAAAAAATAAAGTCATTATTGTCCTGAATTCATGATGTATCAGGCTATAAATGTACAAATGTTTGAATGATTCTTACATAAAGTTCTGTTGAATATTGTGCTTTTTCATGTCTCAGATCCCGACTGCGGACAATTTCAAATACCTTCAGTCATTGTGCTTATGGGTGATAATGGGATTGCAGTTCAAAGTATATAGAGGCTGTTGAGTTGGAGAGATTGCTCTAGAAGCTTCTCAGTTTGCAGATTACTTTTACAAAAGCATCTTGGCTAAAAATTCAAAACAACTTTTTGAAAAGAAAGAATATGGCATTCCAGACAAGCCAGCACAAGACTTTTGGTTTGCTAATTTGAAGTGTGCTTAGCCCTTGTTGTGACATGTCTATATTTGAGAAGAAATGCTATTATTTCCCTTAAGTCTCTCCTCATATAAACATATATTGCTTACATTGACAGTATACAAATGTTCTGAGTGGTTGTTTTAAAAGTTTATTTCCAGAAGGTGGAATGAAGGAAATAATAATTGGAGCTAGAAGATTTACCATTCCAGTTTTAAGGAAAGACTTTAAGAGAAAATAGATTTAGGTTGTAAACTGTTTCAAAAGATTGGAGCTAATACTATTGTAGCAATGATACAGAATATTTTCTAAGTCTCACAATCATCCATATTCTGAGAAAATAACAAAAAATTATTTGAAGAAAATAAGACTTGCAGATCAAACATACTTGCATTTTTATTATCATATATGAAATAAATGGGTACCACTTAGAACAATCTTATGCTTGATGGATTACAAATTTATGAAAGTTTGGTGTAGTGATTTAAGGTACTGGTTCAGAAACAGGAGGCTCTGTATTCTAGTCCTCTCTTAGGTATGATTGCTGGCTGGATGACTTTGGGTCAGTCACTCTCTCTCAGCCCAATCCAGCTCATAGAGTTGTTGCTGTGGGGAAAAGGGAAGGAGGAAAAAAGATATTATGTATGCTTGTCACCTTGAGTTACTTAGAAGCAGGATAAAAAAATAATCATTAAAAAGCTTCATTATACTTTATTTGTCCTGTTCAGTGTTGTTCCAAATATACTAATATTTATATATTTGCAAAACATAAAAAACTAGCCACTTGCATACCAGTTATAGCTGCAATTTCAGGGGGGAAAAGTAAACAAAATTGGATGTGATTATGTTTAAAAGTCGATTTCCCCCCAACTTGGTATTGTCTAGATATGGTGGGATTACAACCCCTATGATGGTGACATCAATAGGAATTACATGTAAATTGTAGTCCAATACATTGGAGAGCAGTAGATTGGGGAATGTTGCTTAAGATCATCTATCCTGACAATACTTTTCTGTAATTATTACTTATAAGAACTTTTTTCAACATCAGAAAGTGTTCCAAATTAAACCCTCTGTGTTGAATGTGTTTTGAATGTTAAATTATTTGGGGCTGTAAATTAGATTAGGAAGTTGAAAAACATTCCATAAGAAAAAATGCCAAACCATTTCCTACCATTCCTAAAAAAAAAAAAACACAAGAGCATAATTGTGGAGTCACCAGGAATCAAGTTTGATTTAGAGGCTTCAGCATTCTTTTAGCTATAATTCATTCCCATGTGGTGCAGAATGGAAGCATGTAAGATACACATGCATTCTTGATCATGTGCTTTTTATTCACATTTTGTAGTTAGAAAAGTGAAGGGCTTCCTTAAAGTTGCACAGCAAATTGGGCACAAAAGTAGGAACTGAACTCAGCTCCCTTCCCTATGTCCTAAGTGTTACTGAACTGTATATTAGTTGGATAGTATACTGGTAAGTTGAACTCTAGGCATGTCGTTGAATAATTTGCTTCCATATCTGCCTGGTCAAAAGATATCCAGGCTACTTGAAGAGTACTTCCTTGTTGCCACAAGAACACTTTACAAAAATATTTGTAAACTTTAGAAAAAAGGGGAAAGACTACTTGAAATATAAACGGTGACTTTAAAAAAAAAGCAGATTTTCCTCTGTATGATTTCTAGGCCTGCCTTTTGTGCAGAACTGTAATTTTTCTATTTTTATAAGCTGGGCTGCAATTGTGGCTTCAGCTAAGCACATACTTGGTTTATGCGTAGCCGTTTTCTCTCTTTCCCTCTCTTGTTTGCACTGAAACCTTAGAGTACAAACTTAAAGTGTTGGCACTAGATATGAAGACATAATGCATTTAAACTGCTTTATAATTATTTAATGTAATAGAAGGATTTTTAAATATTGTAGTTTTAATTTTTAATTTAATAGACTTTCTGCTAACTGGGAATTTAATAATGGGATGCAAATAAAATAAAATGCTTTACTGCCTAAGCTTTTCTAACTTGCTCGTCTATGCTTTAGTAATCATTCTGTTGTGAAGCCCCTTCAACCAATATTTTAATGGGTGATGCAATTATTACAGATAAATAAGATTTGCTACATTTATTCTTACCTCCTCACCCTATTTATTTTCTTTACTGTTGTAAGACAGTAGTGAGAATTGGGGAATCAACAGAAGCTACTTCATCTATTTTTAGTTTTGGACAGTAAAGAAAGTGGCAGACCCCAAAAGGTCTGAGCAGGAAGTAAGACATTAGGTTTTCAATGAGGTACCATAAGAGGTTTTGAAAGATTTAAACTAGTCAAACTCTTAATTTCAGGCTTGGGCTAATTTACTTGAACGAATTCAATGATTATTTTATGTTGCCTAGAACCTGGAAATCAAGCTTGATTCCTGGTAACTCCACAGTTAAGTTCTTGCATTTTTTTTGGAACATGTTTTAAGCTGTTGTTTATTTATTTGTACCTTTTAAACAATATGAAGTTTCAGGAATTCCAGCATTCACTCAGACTTAATATCTTTAGAAGGCGATAAAAACTGAATGTAAGATGGGGGCCTTCTTTTTATACTTTGGAGGCTAGACTAACTTACTCTCAAAGAGAATATGGAGTGGGAATAGAGAGAAAGATTATTCATTTCTGTCCATTACTGCTGCTTCCTTGCTCCCACTGTAATACACCACAGAGTGTTACTAACCATCAACAGCCTTCGACCAATTCCTAAGGAGCATTACCTCAAGGAAAATGTACTGATGAATTTATACTCACAAATTTTATTCCAGGATTGGATTAGAAATGATCCTGTGGAATCATATAACCAACTCCTAATCCATCTTCTTTTTCATAACATTTTGTTTCTCACAAAATAAGGCCGGGCCTTATTTTTTTTTGAGCCCCCAAAAAACAGCTAGGACGTCTTTTCGGGGGTGAATTAATTTCTTCCCCCCCGCGCACTAGCGCCGTCTCCAACAACAGCGTCTGAGTCGCTCCCGCTTTTCCCCGTCCCCGTAACAACAGGAAAAAAAACATTTTGGGGTACCTGGGAGCACCGCATGCTGCGTTTTGGTTTAATCCTGAGTGGCCAGGCTGAGCTGCAGCTGTCCCTCTCTCGCCAGCGCCGTCTCCAATAACAGCAGCAGCAGCGGCAGGAACCGTGGAAGTTACGGAGGCAGCTCCCCACCTGAGAAGCGGCTGAAATGCCTCCACGGTTCCCGCCGCCGCTGCTGCTGTTATTGGAGATGGCGCTGGCGAGAGAGGGACAGCTGCAGCTCGGCCTGGGCGCTTGGAATGCAGGGATGGGCTGCGCACCGGGACTTTTGCAAACTTGCAGAGCCCGAGGCTGGAGCACCAAGCGTAGCAGCAGCAGAGACGCTCGCTCAGCTCTTCTCACACCCACCCAGCCACTCGGGATTAAACCAAAACACAGTGCGCGGTGCTCCCAGGTACCTCAAAATGTTTTTTTTTCCTGTTGTTATGGGGACGGGGGAAAAGCGGGAGTGACTCAGATGCTGTTGTTGGAGACGGCACTGGCGAGAGAGGCGCCAGCACCGTGGAAGCTACGGAGGACTGAGAAGCGGCTGAAAAGCTGCCGGACATCCACGCTGATGCCGCCCACCTGCTGACCCGGTAAGGGAGCCCTCTGTGCTCCACCATGGTGTTAGGAGCAGCTGATGGTGAGGCGTAGCTGCCCGCTGGGCACTCCTAATGGCAAGTTCCTCCCTGCCTTCCCCCCACAATTTCGCTTGTTTTAAATTAGGCCTATATTTGGGGGGAGGGGCTTAATTTCATTTTATGCCTAGAAAATATGCTGGGTCTTCCTATTGGGGGGGGCATATTGTTGGAGAAACACGGTATTATGTAAATTGAGGAGACATAATCTTTCTAGCTGTTGCCTTCTCAAAATTCCTCCATCTCAAAATTCCTCCTCTTCTATCCTAGCCAGGATTTTTTAAAAAATGTTATAACAAAAAATTACAATATAGGGTATTACAGCAATAGGAGAAAGTTTAAGTCTTTTTCATTCACGTGGATGCTCTTACCCAGTGCTTTGTGAAACAAAGGTCAACCACTTGATTCATATCAATTCATAAAATATCTCCATGCTAGCTTGAAATTTTAAAACATTTTAGGCAATAATAATAAGAATTTTGGAGGAAAAGTGAGCCGCCTTCTGCAGATTATCTGATTTAAGTCTTCCAATGAGCATTGGTGGGTATGGTATACTTTCCTTTGAAGTAGGTATTAAACTGCTTAAGCACCTTTGAAGGTAAAATAATTTGAAGGAGGGTAAAATAATGGAATCTTGCCCATCACAATCTGTCAGTGAATTATGTAAGTCCAGTACTGTTTTATGCCTATACATTTTAGGATGAGTAGCATTGTTTTAGAAAATGTAATCTTGTTCTTGAAAAATCCTTTTAAATCTTTCCTCTGTTCTCCCTTCTAGGTGCTTTTATTGTGTGCTGGACTCCTGGACTTGTCGTACTACTCCTTGATGGTTTGAATTGCACTCGTTGTGAAGTTCAGAATGTTAAAAGGTGGTTCCTTCTCCTAGCTCTGCTGAACTCTATCATGAATCCAATAATTTACTCTTACAAAGATGACGAGATGTCGAATACTATGAGGCGCATGATTTGTTGCTCATTTGAGGAGAGAAGCCAGGAGCGGCGGTCTTCAAGGATCCCCTCGGCAGTGCTCGGCAGGAGCATAGATTCTTCTAGCCAGTACTTGGAAAATGGCATTAGTCAAGTGACCATCAGTGGCAAAGAAAATACATGAATTCTCCTCCTCCTCCTCCAAATGGGGACTGCAGCGGGGGTAGGCCACAATCCAAATGATCTCTGAGCCACCTGAGATCACTGAACCCTGAAACCACAGAAGAATATGTTCTCTGTACCAAAACCCAGATCCCAGGGTTACCTGACATCTTTGTAAATAATTACTGGATGGGGAAAAATGTACTTGAAAGGATGTGAAAGAATAGAAGGAGTGGTTTCAACTCTGCAGTGTTCCTTTTAAATCTGGAAACAGTACAAGCAGCATTATAGAGTCTCCTTCCTCAGAGGTCTAGGCAGTGGTGAGATGTCACTGTGCTAGGGCTGCACCTTAACGGCCAATTGTGGCAAGGTGGCAGGGTCAGCTTCTCAGGAGACGGTGGGGGGTGGGGTGTTCCTCATCCTCAAGTGAGGCTTTATTTTTACATCTTTTGAGGGCTGCCATCCCCAATTATGTTTTTGGTACCTGGCCCAAAAGTACCTCAGTTGCCAAACATTGGACTCTCTGTCAGTGCTCAGCACTTCCTTCTGACAAACATCTGTTCATTAAGCAAAGATTAAGCAAATACTCCAAACCAATGAGTGCTTTTCTGCAACCACAACAAAGCAGCTGGTTGGTTCGATAATGCCAAGTAAGGCATTTTAGTGGCCCAGCAAGTAGGAGAAGACACTCGCAGGTGGCAAAATGGATTGCACCACCATTGCAGACTTGGGGTTGTTCCCTTTTAATAAAAAGCCAACACAGGTAACCATGATATTATGGAATATTGTAAACTAGCTTCTCCACAATGTTCCAGTTCTTTACATGAAGGGCTTTCTCTTTTGTGATTATCATTTCTGTAATAGAGAGTATTCAGTCAGTTTTGCTACCTCTCTTCTGTCTGAAGTGGTACAGCCCAGACACCAATTTCTTTCTTTGAGAAGGAGCTAGGCCAGAATTAGTTTGGTTATTCAGAGTGGCTTTTAAATTGTTTGCTTTAGGTAGCAGCCTACAGCTGCTCTGAACTCAGGGGGATTTGCTTCTGAGTAAATATAGTCGGCTGTTTAGTGTTATAAGTGGAACGTTGTACATGTTCTGCAATTAAGCATTTTAATAAAGATTTTTCAGGCTGTAAATGTGAGTTGTAGAACCAGCATTTGTCCTTTATCTGCCATTTAACTCTACCCTACAACCAATCTGTGTAAAGTAGTAGTTTCTATGCTTGTCATTTTCTACTCCAGAGGGGCAAGATTTAGTAACATTCAAAAAAAAATTAGAGCATGCTAAAGTCCTCCCAATGTAGCTTCCATGCCGTGTCAATAGGTCTAAAAATTATTAGCATCTGTTTTAATTGAAGGAGTGGACTTATTGTGGTATATCATCAAAAATATAAAGGATTTTGCCTCACAATCATTTATGTACATACAACCCAGTGTATTGCTAACAGAAGAACATTAGACATTTTGTTAGTAAACTGAATTTTTTTAATGCATGTGAGTTATCAGTATAGTCAAGGTGGTATATGTTATAACCAGAAGAAAAAGAAAAAGGCAATAATATTTATCAGCTGTATTTGATAGCAGTAATCTTTTCAGGTTAGTATAAGATCCTGAAAAGATTTTTTTGCAAAAGAATGAATTTGTATATACTGTTATTACAATATTTTAATTTTAAAAAATCTTAATATGTACAGATTGCTTTTCATATGTTACTTTTTAAATGGTTTAATGCCTGTGGAAAGTATGAAGGAAAGGATTATCTAATGTTTAAAATAAATGCTTTGTATTTGATTTTGAGCACAAGTTACTGTTTTTTTTAAAGAAGAAATACTAAAGGTCTAATCACACATGATCTCATAATTGCAATCATGTTTATTTAATCACATGTGATGAATGGACAATGATGGATAGTTTCTATTGATGGGTAGTTTATCCTTTCTTTTTCATGCTGCAATTGTCTTAAAAAATCCTGCCTGCAACTAACAAAAAACAATCACTAAGATTATGTATAGTTAAGGTCCAGAAAATTAATCAAACTGTTCCCATAAAAAAGGACAAGGAATAACTGCTTTCCAAGGTGAGGGGAAAATACTATTTGTTATTTATACAGTATGTACTCATTTATTCTGTAACGTGAATATTTTGGCCTCAGTTTGGAAATAACCATGTATTGAAAGAAAGAGGTCCATTTTCTCTTCCTGTTGTTCCCGGCATGAAAAGGAATCAAGGGAGCCCAGATTAATTTAATGTGATAGGCTATAACTCAGATGTAAACTTCATTCTTTTTTAAAAAAGTATGTTTTTTTCTTCTAAAAGAATTTCATTGTAAGAATGAAAGGAAAGATTGTATTCTGGATTTTCTGCTGTTGCAACCTGCAGAGGCATATGAGAGAATTTGTTGTTAGATCTCCTAGATGGGCTAAGAATGGATAACGATGAAACAACTTGCCTGCTATTGTTTGTTACAGCTACATATTTTTATGATTTTACATTTAAGACAGTTGAAAAAATAACAGGCCACTCTAGAAACAAAAAATATCCTGTCTATGTTTCTTGGTAAAAATAAAAGTTTCAGAATCTTATTTCAGCTTTCTTCACTTGTCAGTAGTATAATCATTCTCCAAAACTCATTTAATTCTTATAGAGATAGTCTAGGTTTGTGAGCACATTTGGGGCCAGCAAGAAGAAGAACTTACATCAACTGTCCATTGCTTTACAGAGCTGCGGGGTCATAAAATGTGGAAACTTGTTGCAGTGACTTTTTCATCAACATTGCAACTTCACTAAACAAGTCAGTTGCTAGATCAAAACTGCTGCCTGTATGTTTTTTCTTGTTTCCTATTGTATCCTTCACTAGAAGCATTCCATGAGAACAAAGTCTCATCCCCATGACATCCGTCCCCTTGGTTTTAGTTTTTATATAGCATTTAATTATTTTTTATTTCTATATTTCTTAACTAAGCTGCCAGAGTCTTTATCCGTGAGAGGGGCAGCATCTAAATTTTTATAAATTATCTCCATTATCTCTTTTCCAATGTAGCACACCCTTTAAAAAAAAGCAACTAACTGCAGTTCTCTATTTTTCTATCCTTAGTATCTGATCAAATTATCCAGAGAAATCCAGAGAAATAAAACACAAGTACAAAAGTACAAGTGAAAAAAGCTTAAAATACAGAAAACCAAATCTGAAAAAAGAATGAGGGGAAAATATCAAATGGCTTCTATAAGCCAGTTATTGGTAAAAGCTTTTACTTTTGACTGTGCTAAGGTTATAGTACTGCACAGGCATTGCTGAATAAATATTCCCAGCAGCTTCAGTCAATTAACATGACCATTTTTAGAGAGGTTGGAACCAGAGGATCAAAGATTGCCTGTCCTTGATCTACTTCAATTCTTTAATTAATGCAAAATTGTGAGGCAGAGTAAAGCTATATTTCTAAAAAGTACTACTTCCACAGAAGAAGGGACCCCATCATCTTCTGAGGTAATCTTTTGCACAGTACTGCCCCCTGGAGAACATAACTTTTCCTAATAGATAAAAACTTTCATCCTGATAGTTGAATAGAGGCACTTGAAAGAGAAAGGCAAATGAGTGCTGGCTGATAAGAATCTACAAGTAGTTCTGCTTCTCTCTGTGCAACCTTGAAAAACCTGCTCCTTCTCTTACATAAAAATATGATTCAAATAGTAGCTTATTGCTTTATCTATTGTGTCTCTTGATTTTTTTTTCATGCTCCATTTCCTTCATTTTCTCTCACAGCTACAGCTAAAGCTATTCACCTCTCCCATCATTCCAACCTTATGGCACTTGCTCTCGACCATCTAAGAGGCTTCCCGTCTTATTTGAAATCCTTCAGCTACACATACACACACCTAGCCTTTCCCTATTTTAATCTAGTCATTCTGTGTGCATCTGGTGAAGCGAGCTACAAGGCATCTTCTGAGACTAAGAGAGAGTATTTAGGTCTACACTTGTGTACCATTATGGTAATCTATCCACATTAACTAGAAAGCCAACCACCAAGAGAGAGAGTTCAAGCATGGTCATTCAGTTATGTTACATTCCTATGAATAAACACCCATTAAAAGCAGTGATTATGACAAATTCTGGTATTTTTTTTAAAAAAATATTCCACCTGTTGCTTTCCTCAACAGTTTCAACCAGGAATGCTGGCTGCTGCCTACAGCTTTTAAGTGGGTGGAGTAATCATTATAGTCAGAGGCAAGGTAAGGCAAGGTTTTGAGGACAAATGCCTATATAAATAGGGAATATCAAATTAAGTGGTGCTGTAAGCCAACTGGAGTCACCTCTTGATGAGATGAATGGCATATAACTTTAATAAATAAGTCTGGGTGGGTGTCAAGATGGCAGCCACAACTGCAGGAACAAAAACCCTGCTCTTTTTCCTATGCATCATATATGAAACAGATTAAAATAAATCAACATATTGAGCTAATACTGTTTTCTAAAGAATATGAGGCAGTGATAAGCTAAGAACCAAGGGTGGGATTCTACCAGTTCGCACCTACTCGCTAGAACTGGTTATTAACATTCTAAGCAGTTCGGAGAACCAGTTATTAGAAGAAATTGCTGGCCTAATCCTGTAAGGAAGGCAGGAAGGAAACATTCTGGTGTTGCTTACAGAAACTGCCTCTCCGTTAACCCTTATTACATTCTTGGCAGGACTAGACTTCCTGTCTGAGGAACGTCTCTGGAGTTTTTTTTCCCCTCCTTTGCTGGTACTTTGCTTATGTGGAGTGACCATTCAAAGTTACAATGGCACTGAAAAAAAGTGACTTATGACCATTTTTCACAATTATGACTGTTGCAGCATCCCCACAGTCATGAGAGGCCAGGCAAGAAGATGCATGCCTTGATATGAGTGATATTGAGTTGGCCATGCCCAGCCAATAACATGACCACCAAGCCATATCCACACAGTCACATGACCATCAAGCCACACCCACCAACTAAGCCACGCCCACAGAACCAGTTGTTAAAAAATTTGAATCCCACCCCTGGTAAGAACACCAAGAACTCTATGAAATGAAAGTGTGGCAAATCACAAAATGGAAGTCTTATCTGTCCTAGGCATGCACAAAGTGGAGAGAAAAATGAACTCTGCTATCAAGAAGAGCACCACCTGGAAAGAGAACAGTGCCAGTTCCAGATTGGTGGAAAAGCCTGATGTGGAAAGTTCCCATTGCTCCTTCTTTAAGAGAAATGAGAAATTAGTATGTATTTTTAAGGAATGGCAACTAATTTTAAGCAATATCTTTCAGGAGGCTTATAAAGAATTTGAAAATGTTTGATCAAGTGGTTGGGAACAAATCATGCCTTTCCTTTGAAACTAATCTGGAATGACTTATTCAGTAAAAAAAAATATATATAATCAAATATTTAGCTTTGTGGTTTCTTTGGCCAAGCCTATTGATAGCTGGGGAGAGCCACTAAATTGGATGGACTAAAAATGTTTCTTTTTCTTTTTTTTGACATGCAGGAGTTAAGTTGGTTTAATAGTGAAAAATGATGCACCAACTAACCTTTTTCAGAGAAAAGTATAGATTGGGTAGGTGAATATCTGTGTAATATTACATGTTCAGAGGATTGTAAATTGAGTATACATGATATACTGACCTCAGGTCATAGATTCCTCATTTCACTGAGTATTTCTACTCAGTATGCAAAGCTTGAGGTCCCTCTGTTTTACTGCTTCCATCATAAACTGCTAAATATATTCAGTCCTTTTGTCTTCTGTCTTAATCAGAACCTGCTCCTCCTGTTCTTAAATCTCATTAAGACTTTGTTTTGTTCACTGCAGTTTTACTAATCTTTAAAAGTTCTATTAAGAGTCTTTAGTTTTTAGTATATTATACTGGTCAATTTAGCACTAAGAAATATGGATTTCTGGGAAAGAAAAGAAAAAGCTTTTCTCAAAGAAAAACTATTTTTCCGGAATCATTCATTTCTCATAGTTATGCCACATGCTTTCATTACAATGCATTATCTCATATCAATGTGCTAGGCGTCTGGGAGCAAAAAATGAACATCTTGTCTCATTTTTAAAACTGTTTTTCTGAAATAGATCATATCTATTAGATTTGTATGACCACCCATTAGAGAATTCTGGGCAGCTCACAACAATAAAAAATTCCCATTAAAAACGAGCTGGCACC